CTATTCCTCACTCACGCAGGGGTGAGAGCTAGAGTACTGGAGCTGATTGCGTGTTAGATAAAAAATCAGATTTCTATCCCAGCTCATATAGGTTGCATATTTATGGATTTGTTTAAAGTTTATTTAACATTGACTGTGTTGTGCTCCCTGCTGAGGTTGTGTATGCCCAACCGTTACGCAACGTCACACTACAGGACAGGGTTGTTGGCCGACTGAATTGATAGCACCAACACCCTTGAAATTATGAGATTGTGAGTTCACAGCCCAGCCATGGTTAACTTAGCCCTTTAGCTCACTCGACAAATCTGCAGCACGAGGTGGGAAGCCAACGACAGACATTTTTGTGGACTTTTCGATGGACCTATTCCTGCCATTAGAATGTGGAATTCATAATAATTCACATTTGTAAAGCGCATTTTATCCTTGGGTCCCAATGTGCCGCTACTGGTACAGTGTTACCATTATAATATGGGGAAAAAATACAATTTCCAAACATTTTTTACCTGGGTAATCCATCTAGGAGATGGAGTGATGAAACCTGTATGTGTTCAGGTGCTCGGTGGATTATTACATCGCAGGGCTGCGAGAGATGGTGGTGGCGGCTTTGGAAAGTAGTGGATTGGCCATGGATGATGAATATGAATCCCTTGAGATGGAACATTCCGTTTACAAGCGCATCCAAGGTGTCATGCGATATATTATTTAAATACAACATAACATGGTATGTTTATACAAATGTCATATACATGTTCATGCAGTATCAAGAAGATTAACAAGACAGTCAGGGCAGCAGGGCACATGAACATCACACAACAACGAAGTACTTAAATATATACCGCACACTGTCAGTTTATTGGGAATATTTCTAGCTGTAACATTTGCAAATGTTGTGCGAGTCTATTTTAAGCGTGGATTTACGTAGAGATTTGGGGGCACATTTTAGTGCATCTCTTCATGATGAGTATTAAAAAAACAAGGGATGCTATCATTTCAAATCAACCATACGATGCATATTTTTAAATTGACAAATAACATGCACAATTACGGCAAAGACCTCGATGTGGCAGTGGCTGGAATCAAGCACTCCATCATCACTGATTTGGAGCTTGTCTTGACACACGAGCTATTACCCAGGCACTCCCCGTGGAATAAAGATTGTGATCACTCCCTCTTGTCATACACAACACCATGCTTGACCCCTCTTTTACACCCTCATTGAAATGATGGTAAACTTCCAAGCTCATTATATGTACGTGTGTTTTTTTATTTTTACAAGCTGTGTTGTGATTTTGCAGATATTTTGTTGATGTTTACTCAGATGCAGTCATGCTGAGCGCGTTTGCATACTGATAATTTTCATTTTAAACGGCCAGCAACTCAGCATCACAACCTATCACGACATTTTTTTAGGACATTTCAGTCTTAACCGCACAATGCGAATTTTACAATTTTACTGTCATAATTTAGCTGTTAGTAACAAATCTATATTTACATGTCAATCTACGTACGAGCTTTGTCAACCTACCTTTTAACGGAAAGGACACATCCGTAGTTTGTATCACCGGTGCGGGAGGGAATTCCAAAGTCGAGTCGTGCGTGGAAAGAAGCAGAAAGAGACATGCCTTGACTTGCAAGTGTGGTGGTTGAGTAGAGTGTGGCTGAGACAAAACTCAGTGTTGTAGAGTTCTCAACACGAGCTGAAGGAGTCGTTGAGTGAAGCTCACGTGGATAACAACCATGGTACATAGTGGCTATTGTGAAATTGTGAGTGCTGTATCATCAATCAACCCGTTTTCTTAATAAATTATATCAAGTGCAGTGGGAGTCGGAGCTGGGTGCATCCACTCATCATATGACAAGGTATTACAACTTTGACCACATTATTGTTGTTTTTAGAGTGGCAATTTGTAAACATACTTGACGTAGCATGATGAAAGTAGCGTCCAGGAGTGACCAGAATTTTGTTGCGAGCCTTAATGAGATTTTACATGGAGCTGCACATGTTTCAGCATCAAGCTCGGGGACTTGACCTCATCGTGTGGAGCTTCTTTGGAAACCAGATGTAGTTTTGCCATCCTCAATTCGTACGCAACGTTGGCCCTCGATATTTATAGAGATAAAAATTGCTCTTGGAGAGCAGACTGCGGTATAAACAAGGCTGACCTGAGTTCAATTCCTGGTAACAGCGAACTTCAGCAGCGAGTGTTTATCTAAAACGATTCAGCCCCCACCCTATTCCTTCCTCGCCTCTACCAACCATACTGACCCACATGGTGAAGCGTAGTCAGATGACCTCCACCACCACGGTGGCGAGATGCTAACTACCTCGCATGGTCTACACGAGGGCGTGGGTTCGATCCCCGACCCTAATGCCTGCTGTATGCATGTTCTCCCCGTGGTTGCGTGGATTTTTCTCTGCGTCTTTTTTTTTTCTACAGATTTAGAAACGTACATTCAGAGTATTTGGCTGCTTTGAATGCACACGTGATAAGCCACTTCGTTGAACAATCATTTGTGGCCAGGTCGCTTCTGAAAATTAGTTATGTAGCTCAGTGGGCCTTACCTGTTAATAGAACAAAAATGTCGTTTTAAATTGCATGAGAGATAACTTTATCTAGCACTGGATTGACAAAAGGGCTCTGAATTGTATTAAAATATACCCTAAAATAAGTGTGTCGCACACACTTAGACACACACTTAAGCGCACACACACGTACGCGGTGTGTTTTCACTAAGTTGTCCCCACCTGAAGAAGGACGCTTGTGTTGCGCCCGAAACGTCGTGATTTAATTAATGTACATTTTTTTACCTACGTGACTTTACCGAAAAAACCAAAGAGTATGGTGTGTTGGACAAGTGCGGGGAGGCAGAGGTTGTTGAGTCGGCGGAATTTGTGGGAACAGTGGCACAGTGGTTAGCGCACTGTCATGGACCCGGCGACCTGAGTTCAATTCCAAACCTTAGCTTAAGTGGTATTTTAATTGCCGCTGCCCAACCCCCCACCTCTTGACCAACCCCCACTGATCAGCAAGGTGAAGTATGGTCAAACAACCCCATCACCGACGTGCCTTCAGGAGGCCTTCCGCAAGCTGTGGCTTTCAAAAAGAGCTTTGTGTGTTTTTAATGAATGTACTCTTTTTTTAATGGTGATTTTCCTGTTCAACTGTGCCCGTTCTCTGAAAGAATTTAAACATATAGCTTTGCAATGACAAGCATAACATTTTTAATACATATTTACACATTTAGCAGTGTTTATTTTTATTTAAATAAGATATTAGAGAAACAAATGTCTGTAAATTATTATTACCAGCACTGTATTATGATTACTTCATTTTATGATATTATATTATGTGCTTTCAAAAAGCGATAGGTTTTTGTGCTTGTTAGACTACCATATATGAGATTGAACATATATCTCTATTGCAATGCCCCTAGATATATAGCTCATTCTGCAAACAGCTTGACTCGAATGCAATATTTTTTGTGCTTGACAGGATCATTCCACCAGGTAAAGTTCATTGTATGAAAATGTGATAACCATGATATCCTCGGTGCTGAATTTGCAGAATTTATAGATAGCAGGATTATGAAAAGGCACGTGTATCTTTGCAGCTATTAAAAATGCTAATGTAACCCGGCATTTATGGAAGGAAAAAAAAACATCAGCCTTAACATTAGCTCATTATCTTATGTACTTTGTGATAAAATGACCTTGAAATTATCTGGGCTGTATGCTTCAGTTTCAAAGATGATTCGTTTACGATTTTGCAAGCCTGCAAAGGTTCCGCTGTGGTTCACGGGTGACAGTGGGATGTTAAGATTTTACCGTTGCGAAAATAAAGCGGTATGTTCCACCTCGGTGGAATACAATTCAATCCCATATTTATTTATTTATTATCAGGTTTAAACTCTCTTCTTTGCAATACTACCATGCAGCAGATGAAAAAATATATTTGATTGAGCAATCAAAAATATGCTTCACCATGAGGACTTTCTAAATGGAAAATAGTTTTATATACCAAATAAAACTGAAAATGCTTTTTTTTATGCACATCTGTATTAAGCTTTGAACGATGGCACATAAGGACGGATTTTGCATATTATTTAATATACAATAGCTCAGAATAGAACTTCCTAGCGAACAGCAGATGTCCCCTTTCACATTTTCTCTTATTTACGGCCGGTTAAATCCTTGATCATCTATCCATCACGATTTCCGTCTGGCGGTTTTGAAATCCACCAATTTAATGGTTATTTTCACTTAAGTCCCATGGGATACCTGTCACATCTACACATACATATATATATAACAGCAGGTCTCAGAAAGACAAGGTTACAAAATGCCGGCGTGCATTATCAAGTGTAAGCCTCCAATGGGAAATTGAAACACTTTCCTTGTCGTTTATATTGACTTTGGTGAGATAATTCCTCGCTGTTGTTATGTATTCAGCAACGAGTGTGACCTTTTTAAGATCAAAATCTTGGGGATTTTAATGTGGATTAGCACCAGGATTTATTCTAAATGACACATACCCAACTTGGCCACGTACTCACGTCGTGTCACTGGTTAAACTAACCAAAATGCTTTAAATAATAGCGACATTAAGCATTGTATACTCTGCTCCTTTAGAATGTGGTTTCATTAAAAACACGTACCAGGTAATGGACTGCATTTAAATACTTTGACATTTATAAATGTTGTAAAATTAATTGTGGTCAATCGGGGCATTGGCTTTAATTAAAAGTGTGATTGCTGGTTGACACACGGCAGAGGTAACTTGTCAAGCGTACCTGGACCAACATCCACCTAATTATTTAATGAAAGCCAATATTCTTCATGGTAGCACTTAAAGTCCAAGTAGTTAATTATGCATAATTTTATTAGCGTTTCCAATTTGCTTTACTGCATATTGTGTTTGTTATTCATTGTCTGAGTGTGATATGAATGGTCCACAGATGCCCTGCAGTGACTAATTCTGCCCATTGTTTACCGCTTGCAGACATACCCTCGGGAGGCCTCGTTCCGGCTCAGAGTGGAAGGGAAAAGCCTTCTTCTAAATGTGGAACGGAATTCGTAAGTGTGCTATCATGCCCATCCTGACACTTGAAAGAACTCTCGAACAACCGAGTTGTAACAAGAGACTGCTTGGTCGTTAGGAAGGCACAATGCCAGAAATGCCACAGGGGTAAAAAGAACAGCTGTCAATGCCGAGTGATATTTACGTTCACAACAGAAGATGGGTTTTGTTTTGTATGACTCAAATGACTGCGTCGCATTTCTAAGATTTGCTTACTCGTTTTTTTCTCCGTGTCCAGTGTTATCGCATAGAACACTCGTGCGAGCATTGGCTAGGTTATGTACAGTTTAGAATGTTCTTGCCCTTATGAGGCGCAACTGAAATGTGCCAGTTGTTCGTGACCCAGCATTCCCTCCCCTGCATCCCTACCGTGAAAGGAACGGTATTTTATTCCGTTTCTTTCTTTGGGCAATCGCTTCCAGCACTGAATGATGTCGACTCATTGTGCCTAGCAGAGAGGAGAAAGGAGACAGACGAGCTCAATACTCTCTTCACATTGGATGCAAGCTTCGATTGTTTTTAAAGCCCAAAAACAACACTCTCTAATTTAAACTTCCATCTGAAGCTGCTGTACCCTGCCGTTATGTAACGTTTCAATTAAACGTTCACAAAATGGGACCTGTTTTGCCAGTACCGTCAGAGCATGTTTGTTTGCATGTTCACCACAAGTACGTGTGGTTAATGCGAACTTGATTCCTTGCAAAAGGTGTCTATTTGGTGTTTGAACATCTTAACACCTGTTTTATTGCCAGAAAGGGTAAAACCTACTCTTATTTTTTCATAAACATTCACAGTTTTTACTTTATATTAATAACCTTGAAATCACAGTATTTTATTACGTGGCCATTTTTTTACATTTCCTTCATATTTTCATGTATTCGTTTATATATATTTATAAGGCTCAATGTAATGATTTATTTTTCATATAGTGCCCTATACGCCTGGGCATTTTAGCACTTCATAGCACATCTTATCTCAAACTTTTTAAAGGGCACCCCCAGTGGCAGCAGTCCCTATTGGCACAAGGTGAATCAGTACCTGGCCTGCAAATGGGCATCGGTCTGCCAGTTGGGGTGCGACGATTGCGAATGCTGCATTATAAAGTGGTGGACTGCAGTCAGTAGTCACCCATAATTCTCCATCATCAGCAGCAGTGATCAGTCAGGTGGTGAATGAAGGTCTTCCCAAACCAATCGCCATCTCTCACGGTCTTACCAAGGCACAGTCCATCTACCAACAGCACATGAGCTGACCTGGTCACTCCATCTCTACGGTGCTCTACCGCTCGGACATGTTTCCTCCTATTCTTAGGTTTTTTCGGTAAAGTCACGTAGGTAAAACGTCGTGATTTTTATTTTATTTTACTTTTATTAATTTTAATGTTTTACCTACGTGACTTTACCGAAAAAACCTAAGAATATGAATCCTTGCAGTCACGAAAGCTTCAAATCTAGAATTAATGTTTCCTCCTTTGGCTTCTGTTCGTCAGCCTCGCCCACTGGCCATCATCCCTTAGATTCGTGTTTGCTGCCCAAGCCTGCTTACCTTTCTTAGCAATTAATACAATGTCTGTTAACCTGTACGTTATGGTTGTCCAAATCCATGTGCTGCTCTTTCTTTCGATGTAATTCCAAGCGTGCACATTTGCATGCCTCAGCAGGGTGCTCTTTAAATTGATAGTAACTTTCTACAGTGCAATGATGCTATTGTAAATGGGCAACGTGGAAGGTTTAGGCTAACTTACACCTCAAGGCAAGTTGAATTGGGAAGTGATGAATGCAATTATTTTCTCAGCTGCATAGTTTAGGGGCTTTGAGTGACAGCGGGTGCTCTGGGTGGCACAAGGGTTTAAAATCCCAAGGCACCCGCTTTGCTTTGCTGCATTAAGCATCGCAGAGAGCAGGGTAATGTGAAGTTATGATTTATTTATCATCACATACCTCATTTTGTTCATTGCCGCTATTTGCATCTTGTACATGCGTAGGCTTGATCTAATGAGGAAGCTCCGATTCCTAGTAGAATGTGTTGGCTTGTTTTAGGTGATAACGTAGATATGTTCAGTGTGTATGTTTCTTGTTGTGTGAAGAGCGGAGATGCATCCTTAGCTGAAATGCCTAATAAAGCAATTGTTTTGGAGAATGAAAGTAGTACTCGAATCTCCTTTTCAAGGCATGAAGTTGTCTTATCCAAAAAAAATCAACTTTTGCACGGCAAATTGGAAATTGTACACGACAGCTTTTTGGCAAGTAGAATATTTTATTGCGGTATTATCTTGCTGTTCGGTTGCAAAAAATCGGTGGTAGTATACGGAGGGTGAATTAAAACTAAACCAACAATTCACAGTCTGCGCGGGTGTGTCATAAATAGTGGACAGTACTGGGCAAAATATAATTCTTGTGTGAATCGATATCTTTAAATTGTAATAGCAATCAAAATACTATGCATTGAGACCGCTATGTGTAGTATGTATAAGTGATATGTGTGGCTATTTTCATGTAAAAGAAAATACTTTATTTTCATGTATTTACATCTTTTCCATGTCACGCACTGCCCAGTGTTTTTTTTTTTTGCACACAAAACACATCAATTGAAAAGGGTCATGTAATGACAAACCATTTGCACCTTGCATTTTTAGTTCTCAAAGAATTTAACTCCCAGTCGTGCCTCCAGCACCACGCCACGAGACTAAGCCTCGATTCAAAACTCTCCGCGGAGGAGTCTATTCGCCCGTACGTCAAAGAACGGCTTGTGAACGGAGATCTTGTTGTTCTTTCCCCGCATCTACAATTAGCATGGTTGGCTGCGTACGGTGAAAATGAAGTTCAACGTACATACAAAATTCGTTTTAAGGTCCCTTGAGTTACCTCTTTTTTTCCCCCCACCCTAAACTTTTCTGCACAGTGATAACGTCTCTTGAAGGTGAAATTGAGGACCATGGCCTATTAGCAAAGCCTTTAGTCATTGGTACCTGCTATTCTGATGCAACCAACATGACTATCTTAAACTTCTACTTCACAGCTGCAGGTCATTATCTCCAGTAATTTGTGGACCAAACACCCCCAACGACGTCTCAATGACTCATCTCACAAAGAACCCCAACAATACAACCACATTTGATGTTAAACCAATCTCTGCCTCGGGCGTCGCCGATGTGCTCACTACATGAAATAAGTATAACCCGTAAAAACAAAGTTTTTCACTATAAATCCTTTATATGCGTGGCGGCTAGAGTCCTCTCGTCCTCTGGCTTGAGATGGCTGCCACCTATGGGTCAGATGATTGTCTGCCAGTATTAAGCAATTGGTAATTAAATATTAATTAGTTTTCCCTAAACAGTGTAAAATTTTGGAAAAAAAATTTCACGAACATTAATTGTTTCGCACAACGAGTCTGTGTGCAAAATGTCAGCTCGATTGGATCACGGGAAGTGGGTTTAAAAACGACCGAAAGATTTGCACGGTCGTAAGCAAGCAAGCAAGCACGCAAGCAAGCAAGAGAACTTAATATAAAGGATTTAAAAAGCCTCATCCTCGGATGGTTCCCCATGATCTCTCCCTGGCTTTGCCCTTCAATGTGTGGAAAACCCTAATTGGTGAAGCCCTCACAATTTTTTTTATCTCTCCATCCGGGAATGTTTATTGCTTGAGGAATGGAAAAACTGAATATTTTGTGTGCCCTCTTCATAAAGGGAGGTGTCGCTGATGTTCCAAATAAAAACTACCGGTCACTTTAGATCTAACCCCCCCATCCCCCCCCCTGATCAAAATCTTCGCACAGTTACTAGAAATGCAAATTACTGACTTCATCCAAAAGAATAACCTGCTCCACCCAAAAGCAATCAGGCTTCAGGGGAAAGTTCAGCACAACCTCGGCGGTGCTAGACACTCTTGATTGTATCTTCAACAGCCTGGATAACAAACACCGCTGTGCTCTCCTCTTTCTTGACCGATCGAAAGCATGTGGTACACGAGATCACCACAACTTATTGAGCCAACTTAAATGTCTGACCTTTTCCGATTCTTCAGTAAACTGGTTTTAGAGCTAACTTTCAGACCGCTCAGCTAATCATTGCAAACAACCTTACCTCGAACTATATCCCTATCACTAAAGGTGTCCCCCAAGGCTCCATACTTGGTCCTGTGCGCAGTCTCTCTTCATGTCAATAATTTAGGAGACCGACCGATCCACTCCGACCTAAACCTCTTCACAGATGACAATACCGTGATGGCGTCTAGCAAATCTAAGGATGATCGGATATGCAAAGCTGCAACAAAAATTTGACGAACTCCAAATGCAAATAATTGATCTCAAACTTGTTTTTAAAGATGTGGAGTGATATCGGGGATGTCACTGTGTAATGCCGGCCCCTAGAGAGGCACGGCGTGCGATGTATTGACATCGCGGACACCACCTATATGTGGGTACAGTACCGACCCGAGAGGGGCTCGGTGAGCGCTGTCTGACAGTGCTGAGTGGCACCACGCTCTTGCGTGCAGTGCCGAACCCCTACAGGATAGGGTGTGAGAGTGCCTGCCATGGGAATGGGGTTACTAAGGGTCATGGCACTCTGGTTGACCCTGAAGGACACGTGACCAGTAAAGTCTACAGCAGGGGACCCAGGTGGAGGCTAGGGGTGGTCACGTGTCAGGGTCGAGAACTTGCTAGAGGATTCTAGAAGGTGGTCATGGCTAAGGGCGGAGCCAGCCCCGCCACAGAGGATAAAAGCCGGGTCCCCGAGAGGGACCGGCTGCTGTGGTTCATCCTGAAGAATCTACGTTCTACGGCCAGGTCGTAGCTAACTCCAGTGTAATTAGAGTAGCTAGCCTGGTGGTACACCACCATAGGTTGTTAATGTGTTAAGGGGTAGTACCCCGTGTGTTTGTTTTAATAAATGTGTTGCCTCCAAAAAGTGCGACTGTGACTCAGTTGAACTCACTACAGATGTAAGACAAAACTCATGGAGGTTCTGGAAAGTGATCAAATGATACCCACCCCC